ATAAATATTAGGCCTAATTCGGCTGTGATTGTTGCAGCCACTTGGGATTGCTAACTGCAGTCACTGTCAGCCGTACAACTACACACGTATATGCACAGACTATTTATTTGATTCCCCCTCTCCTCCCTTCTTCCTCTCCTTCATTTAGGCTAAGTGGCTTTATTTGTTCTTCTTTCCCCGACTGATTTCAGGTTCACTGTTTAAAAGCAGTTGAATGACGAGAGCTGCAGTGAGAGCAAGGCTCTGACAGCGGGGGGTGGGGGCTGCAGTAATCACACGCCGGCCGTCTGTCTCAAGTCGTCACAGTCCATTTGCTGGAGACGGATCGATTTACTCATGGAGTTTTAAAAAAAAAAAGAGCATATACCAAGGAAATAACAAAGGCCTCAGAGAAAACATTACCGCAGCGAGCATGTAACTAGATAGATTTGCATTTTCGACTTTTAAAATGTGGTGCACTGTGTATTAATCAAGATGACATTGTTATTTCAATTATGTTTTATGCCCCTATCTTTTACATTGCTTTTTTTCAGATAAGAAAATACATTTTATTGAGTTATTTGTTTTAAATGGTTGCAAACTCCCGATTGTATAGAGCACAAATACATCACCTTTAAAGTAAGACTGAAACCTAACCACTAAAAAGATGCAACATCCCTTTACGATGCATGGAGATATAGTATGCAACTACTACCCCCTTGTGGGCAAAAAGAGAACTGATGATTGGTATCAAGACTTATTGAAACACACTGTTAAAAAGCCAACACACATACTGTATGCAACAAATGATAGTATGTTAATTAAACATGAATCTGCAGATTTATTTCGCAATTAAATTATACATTTTTTGGGCTATTTTTTTTTTAAATGACGACTCCCTGAAGCCTAAATTATGAAATATTTATTTTTAGACAGCAAATACTTTTAACCTAAATAATATTTAGTTTAATACTTTATTAAAAATGTTATCTCCAAACATCTTTTGCCTGTGATATATTAAGATAAAACTGTCTAATTGTGATCTTTCAGGAGGTGTATGGAAGTCAAAACTTTCAACCTCTTAATATATTTACACAGCCATAAGCACTTCAGATTTCCAATATTTAAAGGTGACCTATCATGCAAAATGCACTTTTGTACGTCTTTTATACATGAACATGTGTCCCCGGTGTTCCAGGGAACTCACCAAGTGTCAGAAAACACAACCCTCTCTATTTTCCTTTTATCTCTAAAAAAGGGGATGCAACGGATCTGATACAGACTGATCCAGATTTGAACACTTCTATGACGTCACAGAAGTGGCGCTACGGCTATTGGGCCAACTCCACCAATCAGGAGGAGACAGCCACGGACATTGCCGTTGGAAAGCGCTGGAGACGCTGTAGTACATATGCCAGGCCTGTAGATGGTGCTGTTCTCACAGAATCAGCCCATGCAAAGACAGTGTTAAATTGAGCAAAATGAGGAATGGCTAAAATGCATGATCTGTTTGGTATTTTGAAAAATAAAAAGTATAAATATGCCTTATATAGATATGGTCCTACACTTTATTATTCAAATATAGCATGATAGGTTCACTTTAATAGAGCAAATAAAAAAACTATTGGATTATATTACATGCTCGACCGTGTTGTCTCGACCAATAAAGAATGGATATACACTTACGGAACATATTATGTTATACTACTACTAATAATACGTAAAACACACTCACACAAATATCGGATTTTTATCTTTCTCTTTTTGAAGAAACTAATACCGCTAACCATGCTCCCCGAGTGTTCTACATATCATCCGACCTACTCCTACTTTTCTTTCCCTGAGACGACGTGTT